GAGTTAGTAAGCGGGACAAACAGACCTGCAGCCAGGGTCAGCTGGCCCTGCCTCTTTTCCTACCTCCTGTGACAAAATCATATGTAGTCAAGCTTGACAGTGGAAAGGCAGGCAGTGGAAGTGAGACGCGATGGCTTCCATCAACACATTGTGTCTATATCCAGCAACTGTACAAATCCCTAATGGTGGGTTGCCAGGGAAAATGCAGATACTCAGTTGAGTCCAAATAGCAGATGACCAGTGCATTGTATTTTCTTCTAATACAGCATAAATTATGAATTGTGTATCCATGATTCAGATTTCACTGGATGTTGTCTGTCTCTGTGCTTGACTTGACAGCCCTACTTGCTGTGCCCTGCACATCCACTGGAGTCAGATGCAGCCCCCAACATAGGGAGCTTTGTAAGCTTGGTTAAGGTTTAACAGGAGTAGGTCAGCCAGCAAATGTCCAAAGGAAGATCCCTGACTGCATTTGGTTGCATCTGCCTCTATGTGCTGGCCCTTAGTGATGCGCCCCTCTCTGTTTGCCCATCCTCAACCAAGGTGAGTCTATATTAGTCCCTTTTCTTAATATTATGAAATACCTGAGGGAAGCCACATTGTAAAGAAAAGAGGTTTTTATTTGCCTCACAGTTTAGGGGCTAGAAGTCCAAACAGCATGTCCTAGGCTTTGTCAGACTCTCTTTGCCTATATCACATCATGGCAGGAGCATGTATGCATCTGTATCTATCCATATGGCCTCTCTCCCTTTCCCTATAAAGCTATCAATTCAATGCTTGGGTTTCTAACCCCGAGGATCTGACTTAACCTGAACTAATGTAATCTAATCATTTCTCAAAGGCCTTACCTCTAAATGCCACAGTCAGGTTGTTTCTTCTTCCCCTCCTCCCCTCCCCAACCGTGTGCCCCTTCCTCTCCTCCATCTCCTCCTCCCCCTCCCTCTTCCTCCTCCTCTTCTTCTTCTTGGTATTTTTGAGAAAGAGTCTCTCCGTAGCCCCAGCTGGGCCACACTGGATGGTGCTTGCTTGGTGAGGAGAGGGCCAGCTCCATGGGGGCCTCAGGGAATAGAGCCCAACAGCAGTGCAAGTGCCGGCTTCCAGAGACCTCCCTCATCCCTTCATTACTCCATCTGTGCAGCAGGTGCCTCCACAGACACTGAGAATCCCACGGCTGATGCAGTAGGCACCATCCTCACCCCCACCCCCAGGTGACAGGAGCAGCTAGGTCAGATTCAGCTTTTCTGACTTTGACCTTGAGTGCCTCTGCTTGGGTTAGCCTCTTAACCTTTGGTGGGGCCTGTTGTGTCTCAGAACAGCTTCTCACTAGGCGTTCTGGCTGTGCCCTGCGTGCTTTCTGATTCCGAGCCTCAGTGGACACTGGTGTTCGGGTCTCAGTGGAGACCGCTGCACCCACTGTGGTGCCTCTGTTCTTACCTACTGACAGTGAAGCAGATTCTTCCTTGTGGTGGCTCCATGACTGGTACCTTCCTCTGAGCCTGCCTTTCTGAAAGAAGTACCTTAAACATGGGTCACTCAGTTCCTGTCACTGGTCCTTTTAGACTCCAGCACCTGATATTTCCACATCTCAGGTCAGCTCTGCTGGTTTCACATTAAGCAGCCCATGGGCCCTGCTTACTCAGTGGCATAGCCCACACAGAATCAGGAGTGAAGAGACTGAGAGGTGGACAGTTGACAGGCTGCCCTGGATTAAAATCCCAGCCTTCTACTTGCCAGCCATACAGGCTATTCTAGTTTGTTTCTCCATTGCTGTGACAAATACTCTGAGCAATGCCAACTTGGGGAAGAAAGGGTTTATTTGGCTTTCATCTCCCAGGTCACAATTCATCAGGGAGCCCAAGGTATATCAAGTTGACAACTGAAGCTATCCAGCACTCAGGGAATGTCTTAAATTATCTGGATATGAAGTTCCTCATTAGAAAGAGTGGGAATGTTCATGCCTACCTATAGTGTGGCTGAGGGATTAAATAAGCTACCATGTGGAACAACTTAGGACAGGCCTGGCACAGCCTTGGTGCTCTGGTGTGGTGCAGAGCAGACCCTCTGGGATTCCTCTTGGGTTATAAAATTTGCTCTCGACGTTTGATAATTGTGTGACTTTGGAAGTCTGCTGGCATTCTCTGTCTCCTCCTCTGTAAAATGGGAATAATAAAGGCTGACTTTGAGGATTTTTAGAAGGATTAGATGACTGATGACTTGGATATGCTCAGAATAAGGTACCGAATGTTCAATAAATGTTCACGGTTGAGCCAGCCAGATGACAGTGAGCAAAGCATTTGCTGCCACTCAGTTCAGTCCCTGGGTCCTATGTGGGGGAAGAAGAGAAACTTGTTCCTGCAAGTTGTCCTCTGACTTCCATGTGTTCTGTGGCCCCCTTCCTTCTCATACACATAAGATAAATGAATAAAATGCAATTTAAAAAAAAGAAAAAAGGAATTCAAGGTTAACCTAGGCTGCATGAGACCCTATCTCAAAAACCAACCAACCAACCAACCAACAACAACCAATCAATGCCCAACCAAAAAAAAAAAAAAAAAAAAAAAAAAAAGAGTTCATAGTTGTTGTGGCCAGTATCCTCAAGACTCCTCCAAGTCTCTTTTTTCATCTGCACATCTGGTTTATTACAGCACTAGTCACAATAGCCGAGGTATGGAATCAGCCACCAGCTAGTGAATAAATAAACAAGACGTAGTACATATTCCCCAAACTTTTTATTCCACCATCCTGCCAATTCCTGCTTCTTGGTGGTCTGATCACCTTTCCCTGTCATCTCATCCTCCCTAGCTCCATTGTCACTACTCACATCTAACCTGGACCTCCTCAAATCTACTGCCACTAGCCTCCTACCTGAAATAAGATCTAAATTCTCCCTGGGACCCTCCTCCAGCCTTCCAGCATCTTCTGTCCTGGATACAACTAAGACCACATGAAGTTCTTCCCTTGCCTGGCCCCTGCGAACCTCCTCTCACCTCTCCTCTGCTGGACTCTTCCACTGGGCTCCATGCTCAGTCTCTGAGCACATTCTTTTCCTGCCAGGTCCTTTCCTATAGACACACCCCACCCACCTTCAGCATTCACCTCTCACACACTCGCCATCTTTCACCTAGAAACCATCGTATTTTGGAGACATAGCTCTCCCAAGCTACTTTCCCAGAGGCCTAACTAGGATAAAGAGACCCTTCTAAACTCCTTGGAGAAGCAACCTGGGCTGTTTTATCACAGTTATTCTTGGTTTGAGGATTTGACTTCGGTGAGCACAGAAGTTGTGGGTCCTTAGTTTGGCATCATCATATCTAATAGTGCCTGACTCTGAATAGGTTGATTAAACTAATGGGGTGAAATTACCTTGTGCAGTGACATCACATTTGGCTGAAGGATTGGTTGGAGCTTTGTATTTAAACTGTCCTTATAGTCTGTGAAACAAAGGGTTCATGTGAAGAAGTCCAGAAGTAGCTGGCCAGGGAAGTTAGTGACTGATATCTCCCTGTGGAATTATCTAGTGAGATTTGCCACAAAAAGAAATCTCCTAGCTTAGAAAATAGTAACTTTTTTTTTTTTTGGTCTTTTTGAGACAGGGTCTATCTGTAGCCCCAGCTGTCCTGGAACTCAGTATGTAGACCAGGCTGGCCTCGAACTCACAAGGATCCACCTGCCTCTGCCTCCCAAGTGCTGGGATTAAAGGCATGCACCACCACACCCGGCAACTAATAACTTTTTAAAAATTGCTACTTGCAATGTACCAGTCCAAAGGATTATTTGGGGATCTGCTTCTTATTTACTCCTGGCTAAATGGGCAGCTTAAACAGTCCAGGCTGGGTTCCAGGGCCGGGTTGTGGGAGAGGGCACATAGAACCATCTGTGTCTCTATCTTTCATATGGATTTAGTATGTCTCTAGAGAAATCTTTCTTGCCAGTACCTGTGAGGATGAACTTCAGGTAGTATGTATTCAAATACTTATTGTGTATTGGGGTGCCTTAAGATTTTACATATAGTAACTCATTCAGTGTTTCAAGGTAATTTAAAAGGTTGGTTTTTTTTCAATTTGTTTTGTTGTAATCTCAATATCTCTCTCTCTCTCTCTCTCTCTCTCTCTCTCTCTCTCTCTCTGTTGCATGCATGTGAGTGTGCAAATGTGTGTGCCTATGCGTACACATGCAGAGGTCAGAGGAGCACACTGAGTGTCTTTCTGTATCTCTACCTTATTTCCTTGAAATAAGGCCTCTCACTAAACTGGGAGCTTACTGTTTGGGCTAGGCTGGCTGGCAGTGAGCTCCAGGATCTGCCTGCCTCTGCCCCTAACACTGGGGTTACAGGTTCTCACAGCCAATCTCCTTTTTACTTTTTTACAATAGTGCTGGGGACTCAAACTCAGGTTCTTATTATTGCAAAGCAGGTGTCTTACCCACTGAGGCATTATGACGCAGCCTTAGTCTTTCATGGAAAGGTTCCCTGAACATAAGCTCTTTGACAGGATGACAGCTGATAGGATGACTGAGACTGCTACCATGTCACTAATGAGTGGCTAGGGGATACGGTTTGCATACAGAAGGCAAGGTAATTCGTGCTCCAATTAGGGAGAATGAGATGGTGTGAGAGCTCAGTGTGCTGCTCAGATTGGTGTATAGTTTAAAACTCATGAATTGTTCATTTCTGAACTCTTCCACTGAATGTTTTCAGATCCTAGTTGACCACAGTTAAATGAAACTGTGGAAGAGATAACTACTGTAATGGTTACAAACAACACAAATTTGCAGCCCTACAGTTCTTGAAGTTAGACATCTAAAATGGGCCTCAGTGGTGAAGGAACGCTTTTTTTCCAAGGGGAACATCAAGTGGCAGAGACTTATGATTGCAGATGTTTCGATGGTGCAGGGTGACGGTTTCGGAAGGCACCTTTGGTGGCAACTGAGGCACAGGCATGCTACTTCCACATGGGCTGGCGGCACTATGCACCATCACACAGCTCTGCTTTGTCTCACAGGTATGCCGCGTCCATCCTGGGTGAAGACATCTTCCAGGGAAAGGAGCTAATCAATAGTCGCTCCGTGAAGGCTCTCGTGGCAGGGCTGAAGGCCTACAGTACCTGGGAGAACATCAGCTGCCTACAGGACTGCGGCGAGTGCACCGGAGGCATGGTGAGCGCCGAGGCTGAGCAGGCCCTGAGGGCCCCACATCAGATCCACAGATCTACACAATACAGCATGCATGGGGGCGGGGGGAGGGGGCCGGCAGGATGTGGTGGGCAGAGCAAGTCTTTGACTCTGAAGGAAACTGTCACTGACCTTGACTCTGGGTGACTGTGCTTGTCCCCTCATAGGATGCTGCAAGGAGTGACATGACCCATGTTGATAAGATGCTTGGCTGGCTACGGCTGGCCATGAAGAGATCACTTGTAAATATCATTAAACTTAGAGGTGGTGGCTGTTTGGGTGGGAGAAGACCGCTGGGGATTCAGATGATCAAAGCCTTGCTCCAGGGTTTTAATCCCTTGGGAAGAACACAGGAAATGACTACCCTGGGAGGGAGCAGGAGGCAGAGTGTTTAGAGACTGCTGCAGCGTCTCCAGCTCCTGGCCTCAGCCTGGACATTGAGGGGCACAAGGGATGAGAAAATATAATTCTGGGGGGCTCTAAGAACAGCTGTGCTGTGTTGCTTTTCTTGGGGAGAAGTGAACAAGCAACATCAGCTCACCCCAGATAAGGTACGGATGACAGATCAAAGAACTGATTTTACCCGGCTAGCTTGGTGAACCATTGACTACTGGGCTACTTACAGGAGCATGGATGATTAAAGACAGCAGCATCACTGAAAAGCCCACCCTGGTATGGACGACAGCTCATGAAAGTTACCACCCAGAGCCGCTGAACAACTCTTGGGCAGCCCCACAGGAGAAAGTCTCCTTTACCCAGCAGTAGCTCCCTATATACCATTGAGGACGGGCCTTGGGAATCTTGTCATTTCATTAGCTTTTTGACTCTTACATGTTTCTAGCTTCTTGTGTCTTATGAGCCTCCCTCTACCCTCCTCCCTCCAGGAGGAAATGATTCAATTTGGAGGAAATATTTATAGGATAAGCTGGGATCTGTACCCAACTCTTCCACAGCTCTGACAGCAGAAGTAACTGCAGGATTCAAGGAGTCTCTCTGTCCTATACAGGGCATGGCCAGTGAGAAAGTAGACCTACGGGGGCCTCTGTGGGCAGGACATGTGGGTGTGGGTTGGGGCTGTGTGACTCAGTGGCCAGTCATTGACAGTGGTAGCAAAGTAACCTCTGCAGCCCCCAGAACACGTCTAGGAGAGGATGGAAGGAAAAAGCCCGTGTTAGGCCTTTGGTCTGAATTTGAGCTGAATTTTGTTGACTATTGCCTAAAATGATTGTCCATATCTAAAAGGGAGGAAGAAAGGTTTTGGCTTCAGAAGAGAAGTGGTTAAGAGAAAGTCAAGGACAGTTACAGTGAACAAAAGGGGGAAGATGTTTTTGGAAAGCTTTTCTTTGGAGTTGGGCCACTCTGTGAAGAGGTCAGAAACAGAGCTCCTGGCCTGAGGGCTTCTTTGATGTGAATCGATGTGTTGGCTCATCTGAAACTCAGCATGGCCAGGAAAAGCTTTACCCAGGATGGTGGTGCTGCTGGTGGACATGTCTGCTTCATCCCTATGGGATGTTTCATGGGCGTTCCCTGGAAAAGGGACCACTGGCACTGGTGTGCAGCTGTACCAGGTCCTCCAAGGCAGTAAGGGCAGTGGCTCAGTATGATGTCCTTGAACCTGTGGTTCAGGTGGCTGGTTTCTACCAGAAACTGTGGGAGCTGGCTGTCCCTTCATAAATGAGGATGACAGCAGCTGGGAACAGAGCTTGGGGATTCTAGGATAGAGCAAGACTAGGTGAGCAGGTGGGAAGTAAGCTATGAAGGGACCCCTCAGGGAGGGACAGCTCTCAAGGCAAAAACACAGCTAGAAGTCTAAGCTGGCCCAGATGGTAGTAGCCCTCTGACAGATACCTGAACCTGAAGGTCTGCTCAGAGCCACCTACGGTCTTCTAGCCATCTCCTTTCTTTGACTCATCCTCTCTACTGTGGTTTGAATGTGGTTTTGTCTCTTCTAAAGCTCGTGCCTGGGCTTGACTCCTTGATGCATTGGCACTGATGTGATTGGGCCTTTGAGAACATTTGGGATCATGCAGGTTCCATCCTCATGAATAAATTAATGTTTCTTTGAGAGACTGCATTAGTTCTCCTAGAAAATGGGAGGTATGGATGAAAGGTCTAGTTTCTAACCATGGAACCCCCATCCTGAAGCTATCAGAAGCCTGTTAGGAGCTGCCTCACTGGGACAGAAGACACGTTCAGTACTCAGGAAATTCCATGCAATTTAGGATCTATGTGTCAGGAACCGAGGTCAAAGACCAACTATTAGAACAAAATGTGTTTCTGGTCCCGATCACTTAGGAAATTACAGGATTTTAAGGAAACGTATGTCATGAACTGTGGATGGAGAACAAATACATACTTGTTTTATTACAAAGAGCTCTGTGCCAGGACCAGGAATGAAAACAAACTAAATGTGTATTTCTTATTGTATGACAGTATCATAGGCAGAGGTGGCCTGCACATAGGATGAAGGTGGTGTGTGGTACATCGAGGGACAGCAGGTATGAGTTGAGCCAAGTGAGGGAGCAGAAGGGAAAGGATTGACTGGAGAAAGCTGGACTTAGATCGGAGGAAAGGGTGAACCCCGTGTGTGGCTGCCTGTGGTAGGCACTTGCGGGTGGCACATGTGCAGCTGATCATGTTCACAGAGACAAAGAGAGCACAGGACTTGGCGTGCAGCAGACACTTGGCGATGTTGGTTATTCTCACTGATTGTTACTTTGCAAAGGCGATCATTGGGGCTGGACTGTGAGGCAGTGAGAGCAGGGGCCAAGTGTGTGATCAAATCACTGTAGCCTAAGAATGACTAGAGTATTCGGCATTCAGAAAGAAGCTGAGGACTGACAGACTGATGGACAGATGGACAGAAAGAATGAGTAATAGAAGAAGTGAATAAATTCCCTATGTGTCCATTTATTATTATTCTTAAAATTTGAGATTAATCCATAAAACGTGCCTCCTTTCATCTTTGTCTACATTATGATTATTTTACCCCAGATAATTATTTATGTTGATTTTTATATGTATGAATATTCTATCTGCATGTATGTAAGTGTACCGTGTGAATGCCTGGTGCCCCACAGAGACCATGAGAAGATATGGGATCCCTGGAACTGGAATTAAGGACAGGTGTTAGCCTCCGTGTGGGTGCTGGGAACCAAATATTGGTCCCTTGGAAAAGCAAGAAGTACTCCTAATTACTGAGCAATCTTTCCATCCCCCAGATACTTTATTTTTTAAAAATGTTTTGGCATGTTTGTGTGTGAGCACATGCATATGTGCATGTATGTGCACGTGTGTGCATGTGGAGACTAGAGGTTGATGTTGCATGTCTTCCTCAGTCACTATTCCCACCTTTCGGTAATTGTTTATATCTGACAGTTTCATAGATGTGTATAATACATTCGGATTACTCCGATGGCACTCCCTACCATGTCTTATCTCCCTTCCACCTCTGTCGACTTGCCTTCCTCCCTACAAGTCCTTTTCCCACATTCATGTCTTTTTGTTTTGTTCTGTGATCTACTGAGTTTAACCAGAGCAGTCCATGTAACCACAAGTACAGAACTAGCCATTGAAGCCTGGTGCCTTCACCAGTGGGCACACAACTGAAGGCAAGGATTCCCCCTCTTTCAGCATCCATCAACAGCCAATAGTTCTCCAAGGGTGGGGGAGTATGGCCCTATGGCCCTCTCCTCCATCCATAGCTGACTGTTGATAGACCCAGTCTTATGCAGGCCCAGTGCCGGCAAACTCAGCTGCTGTGAGTTCATGAGTTCTGTGCCCTGCCCAGAAAATAGTGTTTTATGGCCCATCTCCCTGTCATCTGGATCCTATATTCTTTAAACTCTTTCTTCTGGATGGTCCATGAGACTTAGAGTGGGGGATATAAATGTCCTGTTTAGGGCTTAGCCCTCAGCAGTCACTTATTCTCAGCACCTTGAGCAGCCATGCATCTCTGCATTCACCACCATTTAATGTAAAGAGAAGCATCTCCAATCAAGCCTTAGAGTAGCATATGTCTATGAGCATAAATAGAAGGCAGTATGATGTGATATCAAATGATCAAAATAACAGTAGTAAGTTTACCTCCCAGGGCCTATGAGTTTCCCATCCATGAGTTTTGGACTAGGTTTATAGTACCAAGTATGAATTCCCTCCTGTGGAGTAGGACTCAAACCAAATCAGAGAGCGTTCAGTTACCCCCATAACAGTCATGCCACTATCGCACCAATAGGTGCATCTTGTTGGACAGGTTGTTAGCATAGCTTTCAGGGTTCACAGCTGCATAAGGCTGTTGATGACTTGTCTCCTCCAGCAGCCTACACAGCACCTTCTGGCACTAGGTACAGTAGCCATCAGGGAAGAAACTACCGGTTCCATTACAACTTGATTTGTTTTTCATGTCCTACAATCAAAGTGTGTCCCACCTTTTTTTGGCCAGACCTCTCCTTTGAACCTGGAGCTCACTGATTTGGCTAGATTGGCTGGCCAGTGAGCTCTAGGGATCCACCTGTCACACTTCTGCAGTGTTAGGATTACAGGTACACGTCATGACACCAAACACAGCTTTTTACGTAGGCGCTGGGATCTGAACTCAGGTCCTCATGCTTGCACATTACTGACTGAGCCATCTCCCCAGCCCCAAAACACTTTATTTCAGACATATGACTTTATTGTTACTTTTTGGAAAGAAAACACTAGCATTGGCTTTAGGCAAGTCACAGTCAAAGCAAGTAGGTCCGTTTTGGCAGCTCACCTTGAGGGGACAGATTCTGATGTCATGTCTACTTTAGGAGCAGGGAACTTGAGAAGAGGGGATGAGAAATCATATAATTCGCCAAAATCTGAACATATCTGCCACCCAATCCCTGCCTCCTCTCTAACCATCAGGCCCTGAGAGAGCCTCCTTCTCTGAACTGCTAGTTTTAATGTTTGCTGTTCACACTCTTATGAGTATCTCCTGGATGAGGCAGCTTCTTTTCTTA